GAAATAAATGTTAAATTTTGCCGATATTCAAGAGTAAACAAACGACCTCACACGTCTAATACATGCCAGCTGGTGGGTCTAATATGCATTCACAAATATGGTGATTATATTTATACAATTATTACAGTATTGCATAACAGTAAATCTTCTATTTTTTGGTGTGAATAAAAATTCAATATGTGAATAAAAAATCAAAATGGAATTTATTTGTAAAGCCTCGAAACGTTGCTAATGAACAGAGGAAATGTTAGTTTAGTTCCAGGAATACCTACATTGTTTATTCTGGACCCTATTTTGAAATTGGAACATTTTGAACTTTGTGTTAAATTGGCCAAATTAACAATTTCCGATCACTTTAATTTGTAGTTGAAACAGTTGACTTGGCGATTTCTTGTGCTCAATCGATAGAATAGAAGTAATACTAGTGAAAGCGCAAAGAATTTGGTTGACTGGAATAATGTAATTGGCCTAAAATGGGAGTCAAAGTCGGCAAAATCGTCGATTCGTAAATATCGCTGAAACATCAAAATTCGCGAGAGCATAATTTCGTCAATTTTCCATCAAATTTCGTACTTTTTGTTTTATTATCTTCACAAAAAGATTCTCTACCATTTCATAAGAAAAAATAACATTTTTTTTTTTTTTTAAATTCTTGGACACTGGGGCACCACTTCAGATTTGGGCCTTGGACCCTGAAGGGGTTAATGTAGGGTCAGGGGTGAGTAAACAAGATAAAACGAATAAATGAGAGAGAGAGAGAATGAGTACATGAGAGAGGACAGGCGCAGTTATGTAAAGAAACCAGGCGAACGCAAGTTTTGTAAACAAAATAAAGTGTACACGTCTGGTTTGTGTACAAGTTACACTGTGTACAAAGTTGTCTCTACATTGATACGGTAGAATAAATAAAGAGAAACACTCCCATTCTCATGTAACACCATTTTTAGAAGAAATGCCGCTCTGAGTGAAGGCAATGGAAATAAGTCACTCTGACTTTTTTGGGTGATTATTATTATTATTTCTAATATGGCGTCACTTGTGTAAGTCGTCTAGCTACCACATCTCATATTTATGTTTATTTATTCTACTGTGGGGTGTATTTATCATCTTTATAAGAACATAAGAAAGGAGGAACACTGCAGGAGGCCTGTTGGCCCATACTAGGCAGGTCCTTTACAATTCATCCCACTAACAAAACATTTGTCCAACCCAATTTTCAATGCCACCCAAGAAATAAGCTCTGATGTGAAAGTCCCACTCAAATCCAACCCCTCCCACTCATGTACTTATCCAACCTAAATTTGAAACTACCCAAAGTCCCAGCCTCAATAACCCAACTAGGTAGACTGTTCCACTCATCTACTACCCTATTTCCAAACCAATACTTTCCTATGTCCTTTCTAAATCTAAACTTATCTAATTTAAATCCATTACTGCGGGTTCTCTCTTGGAGAGACATCCTCAAGACCTTATTAATATCCCCTTTATTAATACCTATCTTCCACTTATACACTTCGATCAGGTCTCCCCTCATTCTTCGTCTAACAAGTGAATGTAACTTAAGAGTCTTCAATCTTTCTTCATAGGAAGATTTCTAATGCTATGTATTAATTTAGTCATCCTACGCTGAATGTTTTCTAACGAATTTATGTCCATTCTGTAATATGGAGACCAGAACTGAGCTGCATAATCTGGTGAGACCTTACTAATGATGATAAAGCTGCAGTATGACTCTGAACTTCTGTTGCTTACACTTCTTGATATAAATCCAGTAATCTATTTGCCTTATTACGTACGCTTAGGCATTGCGTCTTGGTTTTAAAGGTTGCTGCTCACATAAACCCCCAAGTCCTTTTCGCAATCTGTATGGCTAAGTTTTCTACATCATTTAACTTATAAGTACTAGGGTTATGGGCACTCCCAAGCTTCACAACCTTGCATTTATCTACATTGAACTGCATCTGCCCTTTTCTGATAAGAATCGAGTTTTTTTTAATCCTCTGAAGTTCCATAACATCTACGTTTGAATCAATTATCCTCCCTATCTTTGTGTCATCGGCGAATTTGCTCATATCACTAGTATTCCCTCATCAAGATCATTGATATATATTATAAACAACAAGGGGCCCCCAAGACTGATCCCTGTGGAACGCCACTTGTTACAGTTTCCCCACTCGGATTTTAACCCCATTTATGGACACTCTCTGCTTCCTGTCAGTGAGCCATGACCGATCCACGAGAGCACTTTTCCCCAATGCCATGAGCTGCCACTTTCTTTAACAGTCTATGGTGCGGAACTCTATCAAAAGCCTTACTAAAATCTAAGTAAATACAGTAATATCAAATTCTTTATCATGGTCAACAGCCTCAAAAGCTTTACTGAAGAAAGTTAATAAATTAGTTAGACAAGACCGGCCTCTTGTGAATCCATGCTGAGTATCATTAAACAAGCTATGCTTATTGGGGATGGCTTCTTATAATCTCAGCTATAATTGACTCAGTAATTTGCCCACAATTGAGGTCAGCTTATTGGGCAGTAATTTGACGGTAACGACTTGTCCCCTGTTTTAAAAATAGGAATTACATTAGCCATCTTCCACATATCAGACACTACACCTGTTTGAAGAGATAATTTAAAAATATTAGTTAATGGTTCACAGAGTTCCATTTTGCATTCCTTAAGAACCCTTGAAAAAACCTCATCAGGACCCGGCGACTTATTTTGCTTCAGTCTGTCTATCTGCTTCACAACCATTTCACTAGTGACTGTGATGTTACATAATTTATCTTCTTCTATTATATAATTTTGAAAAAATATCATAGATGGATTAATGAAAATATGTATAGTAGTACCAACACTCTTATATGGGTGTGAAGCTTGGGTTGTGAATGCAGCAGCAAGGAGGCGGTTGGAGGCAGTGGAGATGTCCTGTCTAAGGGCAATGTGTGGTGTAAATATTATGCAAAAAATTCGGAGTGTGGAAATTAGGAGAAGGTGTGGAGTTAATAAAAGTATTAGTCAGAGGGCTGAAGAGGGATTGTTGAGGTGGTTTGGTCATTTAGAGAGAATGGATCAAAGTAGAATGACATGGAGAGCGTATAAATCTGTAGGGGAAGGAAGGCGGGGTAGGGGTCGTTCTGAAAAGGTTGGAGGGAGGGGGTAAAGGAGGTTTTGTGGGCGAGGGGCTTGGACTTCCAGCAAGCGTGCGTGAGCGTGTTAGATAGGACTGAATGAAGATGAATGGTATTTGGGACCTGACGATCTGTTGGAGTGTGAGCAGGGTAATATTTAGTGAAGGGATTCAGGGAAACCGGTTATTTTTATATAGCTGGACTTGAGTCCTGGAAATGGGAAGTACGATGCCTGCACACTAAAGGAGGGGTTCGGGATATTAGCAGTTTGGAGGGATATGTTGTGTATCTTTATACATATATGCTTCTAAGCTGTTGTGTTCTGAGCACCTCTGCAAAAACAGTGATTATGTGTGAGTGAGGTGAAAGTGTTGAATGATGATGAAAGTATTTTCTTTTTGGGGATTTTCTTTCTTTTTTGGGTCACCCTGCCTCGGTGGGAGATGGCCGACTTGTTAAAAAAAAAATGTATATTAACGTAATATACGACATTTAATGAGACTCGGTGATTATTATCATTATTACTAATGTCTCAAGACATAAGACACTCTTAATGATTTTAATGTGTACCTGCATGCCATCACAGTGTGTAAGTTTATTTAGGTACAGGTATACATAAGTATAATTATCAGACTCTATATAAAATATGAAATAACTTTTAAAAACACTTGAAATTTTTTAGTTTCCAGACTTAATGGAGAGACTTAGTGCTTACAGATCTCACGGAGAATGTAAACAAACTGGGTGGGGCGTGGTGACCGTATTAGAAAGTCAGGTGGGGGGGCCGTATAGAGAGTTTTGGTCATAATTTGAAATGACCATATTAGTGGAACGCCATAAAGGAAAATGCCGTAAAGCGGGGCCCTACTGTACAGCACAAGTCTTTCAATATACTACAGTGGAACTTCAGTTGTCGAACGGACTAGTTGTTGACAAACTGGTTTTCAAACAAGGAATTCAGTCCTGGTTTTCAGTCCTGAGCGTTGTCAGTCAATGACCGACAACGCTCAGATTACGTGATCACTAGACAGAGTCCACAGCGTGGGTCTCAGTCAGTATAGTGACTAACGCACATGCTGTAAACATCTCTTGCTGTGCATCTTGTGAGGGTAATGAAACCAAAAGTACGAAATTTGATGGAAAACTTACAAAATTATGCTATCGCAAAATTAGTTCAGCGATATTTATGCATCAGCGATTTCACCCACTTTGAGCCCTATTTTGGGCCAGTTCCATTGTTCCATTTGCCCAAACTCATAGCCATTTTGCTAGAACTCCTTTTATTCTATCAAATAAGTACATTTCAACCTATTTCAACTACCCAGTAAAGTGATCTGAAATTACTAATTTGGCCACTTTCACACAAAATTCAAGAAAGGCCAATTTCAGAATAGGGTCCAGCATAAACAATGCAGACATTCTTGGCACTGAAATAGCATTTTACCTGTTCATTAGTCATGTCTCCAGACCCCTCTTATACAGTGGACCCTCGACATTCGATACTAATCCGTTCCTGAGAGCTATCGAATGTCGAAAATATCGAAAGTCGAATTAGTTTTCCCCATAAGAAATAATGGAAATCAAATTAATCCGTGCAAGACACCCAAAAGTATGAAAAAAAAAAATTTACCACAGGAAATATTAAGTTTAATGCAATAGAATAATTACAATAACAACAATAACAATAGAATAATTGACACTTACCTTTAATGAAGATCTGGTGATGATTGAAGGGATGGGAGGAGGGGAGAGTGTCGAGTTGTTACTGTTTAGAAGGGGAATCCCCTTCCATTAGGACTTGCAAGTCCTTTTCCGAGATTACTTCCCTTCTTCTTTTAATACCACCAGGACCAGCTTGAGTCACTGGACCTCTGTCACCATTCCTTTAAGATTTGTCTAAAATGGGCCATAACATTGTCATTGTAACAGTCACCAGCATGGCTTGCAATAGCTGTGTTAGGGCAATTTTCATCCATAAAGGTTTGCAGTTCAACCCACTTTGCACACATTTCCTTAATTTTTGAAGTAGGCACAATGGAGTCCACAACTGGCATAGGCTTCTCAGGGTTAACTCCAAACCCTTCAAAATCTTTCTTAATTTCCATGCTAATTCTCACCCTTTTTACCACAGGGTTGGCACTAGAAGCTTTCTTGGGGCCCATGGTGACTTATTTTGCAGAAACAAGCACCAAAAACAGTGATAATATGGAATGTACCGAATGTATCCTTAGATGCGCGCACACTGGCTGGCTTGTAAACACTGGCACACACGGGGCAGTTCAGGCCACACTGTTGGGTAGACTTCAGGATGTACATGTTTATAGAGGGGCCACAGATATATCAGATCACTTTTTAGTTGTGGCTACAGTGAGAATAAAAGGTAGATGGGATACAAGGAAAATGGAAGCAGCAAGTAAGAGAGAGGTGAAGGTTTATAAACTGAAGGAGGAGGCAGTTAGGGTAAGATATAAAAAACTGTTGGAGGACAGATGGGCTAGTGTGAGTATAGGCTACGGGGTAGAAGATGTATGGGGTAAGTTTAAGAATATAGTGTTAGTGTTCAGAAGTAGTTTGTGGTTACAAAAAAGTGAGTGTGGGAGGGAAGAAGAGTGATTGGTGGAATGATGATATAAAGAGAGTAGTAAGAGAGAAAAAGTTAGCATATGAGAGATTTTTACAAAGTAGAAGTGATGCAAAGAGGAAGGAGTATATGGAAAGAAAACGAGAGGTTAAGAGAGTGGGGAAGCACTGCAAAAAGAGAGCAAATGAGAGGGTGGGCGATATGTTATCAACAAATTTTGTTGAAAATAAGAAAAAGTTTTGGAGTGAGATTAATAAGTTGGGAACAAATGAATTCGTTAGTTAAAAATAGGAGAGGAGAGTTATTAAGCAGAGAGTTAGGGGTATTGAGAAGATGGAGGGAATATTTTGAGGAATTGTTAAATGCTAAATGTGATTTTGTGTATAGGGCAAGGAGGAATAACATCTTATAGGAGCGAGGAAGAACTAGTTGTAAGTGTGGGGTGAGTGTGTGGGGCAGTGGGTAGAATGAAAGGGTGTAAAGCAGCTGGCAGCTGGGATTGATGGGATAAAGATAGAAATGATAAAAGCAGGTGGGGATATAGTTTTGGAGTGGTTAGTGCTTTTATCTAATAAATGTATGGAAGAGGGTAAGGTACCTAGGGATTGGCAGAGAGCATGTATATTTCCCTTGTATAAAAGCAAAGGGGACAAAAGAGAGAGTAAAAATTATAGGGAAATAAATATGTTGAGTATACCTGGTAAAGTGTATGGTAGAATTATTATTGAAAGAATTAAGAGTAAGATGGAGAGCAGGATAGCAGATGAACAAGGAGACTTTAGGAAGGGTAGGGGGTGTGTAGACCAAGTGTTTGTAGTGAAACATATAGGTGAACAGTATTTAGATAAGGGTGAAGATGTTTTTGTGGTATTTATGGATTTGGAAAAGGTGTATGATAGGTTGGATAGGATTGCAGTGTGGCAGATGTTAAAAATGTATGGAATAGGAGGTAGGTTAGTGAAAGCAGTCAAGAGTCTTTACAAGGATAGTGAGGCTCAGGTTAGAGTATGCTTGTGAGAGGGAGATTATTTCCCAGTAAAAGTAGGCCTTAGACAGGGATGTGTGATGTCACCATGGTTGTTCAATATATTTGTAGATGGAGTTGTAAGAGAAGTGAATGCTCGGGTGTTGGCAAGAGGTGTGGGGTTAAAAGATAAAGAATCTAACACAAAGTGGGAGTTGTCACAGTTGCTTTTTGCTGATAACACTGTGCTTTTGGGAGATTCTGAAGAGAAGTTGCAGAGGTTTGTTGATGAGTTTGGTAGAGTATGTAAAAGAAGGAAATTAAAAGTGAATGTAGGAAAGAGTAAGGTGATGTGGATAACCAAAAATTTGGGTTACAGAAGATTGGATATCAGATTGGAGGGAGAGAGTATGGTATTCAGATATTTGGGAGTGGACGTGTCAGCAGGTGGGTCTATGAAAGATGAGGTGAATCATAGAATCGATGAGGGGGGAAAAGATGAGCGGTGCACTGGGGAGTCTGTAGAGACAAAGAACTTTGTCCATGAAAGCTAAGAGGGGAATGTATGAGAGCATAGCTATACCAACACTCTTGTATGGGTGTGAGGCGTGGGTGGTGAATGTTGCAACAAGGAGAAGACTGGAGGCAGTGGAGATATGTGTTGTGTGAATATATTGCAGAGAATCCATAGTTTGGAGATTAGGAGGAGGTGCAGGATTACCAAACTGTTATCCAGAGGGCTGAGGAGGGGTTATTGAGATGGTTTGGATATGTAGAGAGGATGGAATAAAATAAAATGACTTTGAGAGGGCATAAATCTGTAGTGGAGTGAAGGCATGGTAGGGGTCGGCCTAGGAAAGGTTGGAAGGAGGGTGTAAAGGAGGTTTTGTGTGTGAGGGGCTTGGGCTTCCAGCAAGCATGCATGAGCATGTTAGATAGGAGCAAATGGAGAGAAATGGTTTTTAGGACTTGACATGTTGGAGTGTAAGCAAGGTAACATTTATGAAGGGATTCAGGGAAACCAGCAAGCTGGACTTGTTTCCTGGAAATGGGAAGTATGGTATACAAATAACCCGCACATAAAAGAGAGGAGCTTACAACGACGTTTCGGTCTGACTGGACCATTTACAAAGTCATACTAACAAAAAGGAGAGTGGGAAGGGTATATATAAGCAGCAGCAGCCGCCGCCGGCGGTCAAATACTAAGAAAGAGGAGCACTGCAAGAGAGCTAGGTGCCCACAGAGGGTAAGAGCAAGAACACTGAGGAGAAGAAAAAATTAAATATATAAAGAAGGAACAAATACACAGTGCAAAAGAAAGACAGGACGAAGGAGAAAAAGGAAAGGGGAAGATGGAGAAGATGAAAAAGGAGGAATCAGGTTAGGTCACGGGTGTCCAGTCACAGTGTTGTGCCTTTTTTTTTTTTTGTTATTTATGGGAAGTACAGTGCCAGCACTCTGAAGGAGGGGTATTAGTTTTGCAGTTTTATAACTGTAGTGTAAGCATGCCTCTGGCAAGACAGCGATTGAGTGAATGATGAAAGTTTTTCTTTTTCAGGCCACCCTACCTTGGTGGGTAATGGCAAATGTGTTAATAAAAAAAATTAAGATATATTCTGTTTTTTAGGTTCACCAGATCAGCTGGAGCAAATTTGAACAAAAGTTACATGAAAAGGTATCATCCTTAGATGACTTGTATGACCTTCACAGGTCCCTAGTCACCTCCATTAACTCAAGGTAAGAGATTTTAATATGAAAATTAACCATTGGAGATGAAAAGTATGTTGTATTGAGGTTACAGAAAGGATACACACACAATAAAGAAATTGGAAGGAAATTGTGACTCGGTAAAAATAGGAAATTTTATGAGTAGATGATGTTCTTTGGTATGTTGGGATAATAATTGGTTAAATCAAGTATATGATAAAATATACCTGTAGTAAGAAATTTCTTTGAGAGAAAGTCACAATTATACTGTTTTTAACCTGTAAACGGTCCAAAATGTATATATACGTTCACTACCCCAGTGCCCCGAATATTTTGAAAAATAAAAAAATAGTTTTTTTTTTTATGTAAATAAAGAGCACATTTTTCTAAGTGTTATAGGATAAACAAAAAAAATAGGGTCAGTACTTACAAAGATATGAGGCCAAGAAGTTGGCAATGGATGCTCACGTGACAGCATCATCCTGCCACTTGCAGAAGTGTTGCCGATATACATTTTTTCTATTTTTCATATTACAGTGGACCCCCGGTTCACCTTATTAATCCGTTCCTGAGAGCTCAACGTAAAGCAAAATTATCGGAAAGCGAATCAATTTTCCCCATAAGAAATAATGGAAATCAAATTAATCCATGCAAGACACCCAAAAGTATGAAAAAAAAAACTTTTACCACATGAAATATTAAGTTTAATGCAATAGAATAATTACAATAATAATAACAACAATAGAATAATTGACACTTACCTTTAACCCTTTGAGGGTTTCGGACGTACTAGTACGGCTTATGACCCAGGGTTTTTGACGTACTAGTACGCCTAAATTCTAGCGCCCTCAAATCTAGTGGGAGAAAGCTGGTAGGCCTCCATATGAAAGAATGGGTCTATGTGGTCAGTGTGTACAGTATAAAAAAAATCCTGCAGCACACAGTGCATAATGAGAAAAAAAAACTTTGACCGTTTTTTTTTTGGAATAAAACAGTGACTTTGCACTGTATTTTCATATGGTATTTATTGTTGTATTCTAGTTTTCTTGGTCTCATTTTATAGAATGGAAGGCATATCACAGAAATTGAGATGATCTTGACTGGTTTTACAATGAAAAGTACCTTGAAATTGAGCTCAAAGTAGCAGAAATGTTCGATTTTTACCAAAGTTCAAAAGTAAACAAATCATGCCAAGCGTCCAATACATGTCAACTGGTGAGTCTAATATTCTTTTGCAACTGCGCCAATATGATTCATACTATTTTTTACACTAATGCCGTAGTCTGCATAACAGTAAATCTTCTATTTTTTGTGAGAATAAAAATTCAAAGGGGACAGCTAAAGAATGTAAGAGGGGCCTTGAGACATGACTAATGAACAGAGGAAATATCATTTTAGTGCCAGGAATGTATTTCTTGTTTGTTCTGGACCCTATCTGGAAATTGGCATCTTTTGAAATTTGTGTGAAATTGGCAAAATTGCTAAATTCTGACCACTGTACTGGATAGTTGAAATTGGTAAATGTGTGGTTTCTTGCACTCATTCAATAGAAAAAATGGAGTTCTAGCAAAATATTCATGTTTTCTGTCGACTAGCACAGTGGAACTGGCCAAAAATGGGGCTCAAAGTGGGCAAAATCGCTGATCTGTAAACATCGCCGAGACCGCTAACTTCGCGAGAGCATAATTCCGGAAGTTTTCCATCAAATTTCATATTCTTGGTGTCATTATGATCGGGAAAAGATTCTCTATCTTTTCATAAGATTTTTTTTTTTTTTTTTTTTAAATTTGGCCGACCCTGAGAACAAGTCTCGGAGAGGGCCTGTCGACCCTCAAAGGGTTAATGAAGATCTGGTGATGATTGATGGGATGGGAGGAGGGGAGAGTGTTGAAGTTTTTAATGTTTAGAAGGGGAATCCCCCTCCATTAGGACTTGAGGTAGCAAGTCCTTTTCCGGGGTTACTTCCCTTCTTCTTTTAATGCCACTAGGACCAGCTTGAGAGTCACTGGACTTCTGTCGCACAACATGTCTGTCCATAGAGGCCTGTACCTCTCGTTCCTTTATGACTTTCCTAAAGTCGTTCACAACATTGTCAATGTAATAGTCACCAGCACGGCTTGCAATAGCTGTGTTAGGGTGATTTTCATCCATGAAGGCTTGCAGTTCAACCCACTGTGCACACATTTCCTTAATTTTTGAAGTAGGCACAATGGATTCCACAACTGGCATAGGCTTCTCAGGGTTAGCCCCAAACCCTTCAAAATCTTTCTTAATTTCCATACTAATTCTCACCCTTTTTACCACAGAGTTGGCACTAGAAGCTTTCTTGGGGCCCATGGTGACTTATTTTGCAGAAACAAGCACCAAAAACAGTGATAATATGGAATGTACCGAATGTATCCTTAGATGCGCGCACACTGGCTGGCTTGTAAACCCTGGCACACACGGGGCAGTTCAGGCCACACGTGGACACGTCTTGTAGGAATCGTATCGCATACCGGCTTTTGTAACGGGAACCAAGGCAAATTTTTTGCGATATAATGCTTCGGATACCGGATTTATCGGATACCGATGACTTCGCGAACTGGGGGTCCGCTGTATTTTATATAATTTTTAAGTTCTGATAATTACAATTTATAGTAGTACTTGTCATTTCATAACCAATCTTTGTTCTGACACTAGTATTAGGTACTGAAATTGTACTCAAATTGTCAAACACACTGACAGGTGGACATTTACACCTGCCTTGGCCATTTACTCTTGTCTTGGAATATGTACAAAGTATTTATAGGTTCCAGCAATTTTTGGATATGTGGAAGTATTTAATAATAATGAGGAGGAGGAGGAGGAGAAGAATACGTAATAATAATAATAATAGGTAATAAGTTCTTTTGAAGCATGAAAAACAGTCCACCCCTGACAGTGATGTGATAAGATGAGATAACATTTGATAAGAGCTGATGTTTGATGAGCATACAGGAGGGTGCAGTGATAAGACTTGATAAGAAAAGATTAGAGGTGACATATGATGAGCATCGGTCCTGCTTTGTTTTCACTGGTACACAAACATGTCTGTCTGTCTATTTGTCTGTCAAGCCCCCTGTCTATCCATCTAGCTCTTTGCCTCAGAGAGAGCCACAAGACTGCGTCATCACGTTTACTCACATCTTCAAGCAGAGTATAGCACTTTTTCTGGATTTTTTGGGTTATCCTAGGTAATTTACACTATGTATACTTGTATTTATGTGTACCTGTGAGACAGAGATAGACAGAGACAGATTGAAAGAGATAGACAGAGACAGATTGAAAGAGATAGACAGAGACAGATAGAGACAAAGATAGACAGACAGAGATAGAGACAAAGATAGACAGACAGAGATAGAGACAGGGATACAGACCCTAAATTTAGGGTTAACATCGCTTTCCTCTTAAAAGGGGAGTGTTAATATGACATTACATCAGTAAATCCTTGGTGTTTGCCTCACTGTTTGCTCGAGTTGGTGCTCAATTTAACTGGCGCTTCCATAGGGCACTAAGTGGTCCCAGATTTTTTTAATATGGTGCACACCGAGTGTTAAGACCCATTCTATGCTGACCAGGCATCTCGGGCCAATCGTGCCAAATTTGGAGGCAGGAAAATTAAAATGTATATATACGTTTGGGGCGCTGGGGGTAAGAATGTACATATACCTTTGCACCGTTTAGGGGTTAATAGTTTGTATTTTCTTTTCATTTTTAACAAATTTGCTATCTCCCACTGACACAGAGTAACCTGAAAAACGGAAACACATTCACCAATAATTTCAATAGCTTGATAGAGGTACACAGACATCACCATTCAATTGACCCTCTGAACTGCAACAGGAATTACTAATGCAACCAATTTTTACAAAGGATGTAAAAATACAATTAAAAATTTGCAATATTGCCTAAAAATTTTCCCTGTATCTTAGCTTTTACACAGATAACCAGTATCAGAATCTAAATAAGGTTAGCTAGTTCCTTATACCATTTTACTTGCTTATCTCAGAAATCTTACCTGTTGACTTTTTAGTTTTGCATAAAATTGAATAAAAATTTTACAACCATTTTCAAACTGCAGATCTTTTGTTTAGATTGAATTTAAAATAGTCAATGCAGATAGTTTATTCATCATTATTATGTGGCATCTTTGAGTAGGCATTGATTCTTACTAAATTTATTAGCATGTTGTCTTTTACCTTTACTCTTTTTTTTTAGATGCTTCCTGACACATAATGGTGCTGTGGTTCAAAAACTTGTGCGGGATGTGTTCTCACTGATGCAACGCTTCCGTTCACAATACCTCTCCCATTCCTGGCAAGCTAACACTCAGTCTGGTGTGATGGAGCATCCTGGGTACACTGCTCTTAGGACAACATATCAAGAGTTTCAGAAACATTCTTCGTTTCTACATAAATGTAAGCAAATTTTGTTTCTGCAGTTATTTAATCCTCATCTTCTGTACTGCACTTTCTCAGAAAACTTGGAAATATTTTATTTCATTACATTTATAACCCACAGTATTTTTTGTGGGGTGACATTGATTCCCCACTGAAGAGCTATAGTGAAAATTATTTTTAGCTCTTTATTATATAGTCTTTCTTTTCACATTAATTTAGAGCTACACTATTACAAGCAACACTTTTCTTATAATTATTATTTTTTGTACTTCCTCTCTTCCTTCTAGATATCTGAATTATTATTTAGGCATCCATTACAGCATTAACCCTTTGACTGTCCATCACATAGAACTGTGTCATTGATGCCATGATCTGTCACGTAGATCTACATCATGTGTTCAGCTTACTCAGATAAGCTATGAGCAGGAAATTTTGGCCTAGATATAAGACATTAGGTCTGTGTGGTGAGTGTGCACTGTATACAAAAAAATTCTTCCCCACACAGTGTATGATGGGAAAAGCAAAACTCTGACCTTGTGTTTGATTTAAAATAGTGACTTTGAGGTGTTTTCCAGGATGGTTTTATTGGTTGTTTCTTGGTATCATTTGATAGAATAGAAGACATACTTCTGAAATAGATATGATCTTGGTTGCTGGACAAGAAGTAGCTTGAACTTGGCCTCAAAGTTGTGGAAATATTAGATTTTTGCTGATAATCCTGAAAACCGGTAAGTTCTCCCCTACACCTCCTGGTCTGTTTTATGGGTTAATAGGTCTGATTCAATTACTGGGATGTCATAAACCATGACCAATTACTCCTGGTTATATTTTATTATTTAAGAAATAGGGCAAATCTTTGATTTTTTTGTGTGATGAATTCAAAGTTGATGGCAAGTGTAACCTAGGAAAGGCTTAGGAATATGATTTTTGCACGGAGGAAATCCTTCCTTAGTGCTTGGAATGTCTGCAGTGTTTATTTTGGACTGTTTTTACATTTGAATTTTTTTAAATTTTTGTTGTTGAGGTGGTTCAGGCATTTAGAGAGGATGGAACAAAATAGGATGACATACAGGACATATAAATCTGTAGTGATGTGGTGTAGGGGTCATCCTAGGAAAGGTTAGAGGGAGGGGGGTAAAGGAGGTTTTGTGTATGAGGGGCTTAAACATCCAACATGCATGTGTGAAAGTGTTAGATAGGAATGAGTGGAGGCAAGTGATTTTTTGTGAGCATGGTAACATTTATGGAGGGATTCAGGAAACCAGTTAGCTGAACTTGAGCCCTAGAGGTAGGAAGTGTAGTGCCTGCACTCTGAAGGAGGGGTGGGGATAATTGCAGCTTTGAACTGTAGCATCAGCATCCCTCTTGAAACACAGTGATGGAGTGAGTGATGGTGAAAGTGTTTCTCCTTTTTGGGGGGGTTACCCTACCTTGGTGGGAGATGGCCAGTTTAAAAAAAATAGCCAAATTGCCAAATTCTGTGCACTTTATAGGGTAGTTTTGACAGTTAAATGGGCAGTTTCTTGTGCTCAATCTATAGAAAGGGAGGCATACTAGGAAAATAACCATGAGTTTGACCAAAATGAGCAATAGAATTTACATAAAATAGGACTCAGAAGTCAGTGAAATTGCCGATGCATAAAATGTGCCCAGACCACTAAGTTTGTGCTTGACTTTTGGCTTTTTACCTTTTTCTTTCTCACTTTACTTGATAATTTTTCAAGATAGTCATAAATGTTGTTTAGCTTCCATTTCTAATTTGAAGTTTAAATGTGAATTGTTTCATTTTCTATGCAGCATTTTTTAAATGACCATTTTTTAAATATTTCCTAGCAATTTGTTATTAATTTCCTACAGTTAGAATATTTTTTAATCAGTGTATCAGTAATATACTTTACCTTACAATTCTTATTTATCTTTATTCTATATTTTGTATTGAATAATTATATTATACAGATGTTTGAGATGTATTAATTTTTCTGCTTTTATCTCAGTTTTTCAGTGTATTTTTTATATATTGGTATGTAACTGTACCATAAAATTTCATAGACTTAAGAATTCACACAACAGGTAGAATTTGAACAGTCCTAAAACTAGCAGGCCAGCTTTCTAACCACTACCATGTTGTCCAGCATGTTACACTGGCTCAAGTATTGGCTGCCTAATTTTAGAACTGGCTTGACATGGTTTCATATCCTATGCATTCTGGGTTGTTTACAGTTGTGTTATTAAGATCTCATGAATCATTTATTTCAACATGATAGTTTTTCACTGTAATCAGATTAAAATTAACTGCCCCCAACATTAAGAAAAATTATATGATCTTGTGCAGTTTTTTTTATTGCATCAGAATTTTAGTCTGCAAGAAACTATTTTTGGCAACTGATACTGCTTTGTCTTATAACAGTGCAGCTCTTACAAGGGTAACTGTCTCGACCAATATCTTGATAGTGATAACAGTGTATGTAATGATGGTATAAAAAATTTAAGTATTTTATTCCCCTGATTTTTCAATCATGCTTAGTTAGAAGAAAATTAATGTTTCTTTATAATGTAAATTTCTTAATTCTCTCATTCTCTTGAAGCCCTTCTGGAGGAAGAAGATAAACTACATGAGGTAATGGTTTTTTAACCTTATATGTTTGCTTGCATTGGGCAACTGCAGTCATGCATTTTGAGTATGAAGAAGTCTTAAATTACTGAAGTATGCATACCCTCAGTGGCAAAATTCCTTATAAAAGAGCACTTTTTCTTGGAATTTGAGCTTTTAAATTTTCTCGCCTAAGGAGCTAGTAAGCTAGTACAGTTTAGGAATAAGTCTTATCCAGCCCTAAAACTATTTTATATATCTATATATGATGTGCCATGGTATTGATGAGTATCAACCATTTTTACAATATTTGTATTGATATCAATGATAAAATGACCAATACCAGCCGATACTTTTAAAATATTAATATTACGCGTTTGCTTAAAAATATCAAAATTGACTGACACACTACCTCCTTCAATCAAGAGCCCCTCCAATGAGGGGCTTTTGATTGAAGGAATTGAACCTGACAGCCCTTTCCTTGGACCAAACCTAAATTCTTTCTATGCCCATGAATGCTATATGACCCCTATGGGTTTTGTTCTCCCCATAAATGTAATATTAACCCTTAAAAGGTCCAAACGTATATATACGTTTTTTTCAACATCTGAAAGTATGTAAAAAATTGTAGATCTTTTTTGTTTTACATTTGAAAACATGTAAAAAAAACTTATCTACATTTTTGTTTTTGTTATATTTGAAAATATGTAAAAAAAAATAGATCTACTTTTGTAGCACTATGAATTTGAACGTCGATCTGTTTGGACCATTTAAGGGTTAATACACACAAAAACAAATGCATTGGTTCTGAACTCTTAGGCAACGTGTGGACACAGGAAGGGCATTGTATAAACTGAAACTTATTAGTATTACAGAATTACCCCCCAAAAATGATACTGGTTAGGGTAGTTTCAATAAATTAAATGTGCCATGGTGTAATCTTTGTACTTGACATTGTGGAGAGGGACTGCCAATTCCATATAGTACACTCAGAGGAACTGTACTCTGATAACTAAAATGACCATGCATGCTTAGGGTTATATTTTATTATACAATATTGTATACATAATAGAACTGCTGATTAAACAATTGTTACTGTCTTTCCCAGCAATGGAACAAGAGCATGTAATGTACCAGACAGATAAGACCACCACATTGTTACACCTCATTACACTTGGAACTATTTCGTAGCTAAAACTGGAGGCTCTTTTCTTACCTTACCTACAACTAGATAAAATGTGTAGTCTGGTGAAGACACTGGCTACAGTTTATTTACTGATCAATCTAGTGTAAGAGACTTTGTACTCTGGGTTCCTTGTTTTCTCTTCAACATCAATGTGAGGAGCTTTATTGCCGATAAATAGCCTCATCTTGTTCCAGGAGGGAGGCTCTGCATATTCAACACCATCTTTTTGGTGTTCCACACTTTCGTTGGGTTTTGGTCGAGCCATTGTTCATTACATTTGGTGCCTTTACCGCTTTTCCACCATTTTTGCACAACAGTTGCATAAGGAAAGGGCAGCCAGTGTTGTATTTTAAGGTTAAGTATTGTATGTACAGGTCTCCCTCAACATTCGCGTTTTCAACTTTCGCGGGCTTCACACATTCGCGAATTCCCAACCCCCCAATTCCCAGCCGCCAAATCATATTTAAGTTTACTGCCACGAGTCCTTACTACCCTCCCTCCAACCCCTGCAACTGGCAGCCAGCCCTCCCACCACTGTGGGGTGAGTGCTTTGTTTGTTTATTATTTGCTATTAAACTACAGTATAAATAATGTAAACCCATCCATGACTGCATATTAGAATGGCTATTCAGACAGGTATTGGAAGGCGACATCATGTGTTTACTCTTGAACACAGCAAAGAATCAAACATTTCTGCTACTGCTAATAATAATAATATTAATATAATAATAATAATAATATTAATATAATAATAATAATAATATTATTATTAATATAATAATAATAATATTAATATAATAATAATAAATACGATAGAATTGAAGAAGGAAATTGTACAAAAATACGAGGGTTGAAGCAGTGGTGGAGGAAGTGGTTGACGCATCGTCAGTGTGGCTTTGTTTATGCTGGAGTGAGTATTAGTCTCCGTGCTCTTCCAACATTTCACATTAATTCATTGTGTTTGGTGCTTGTAGATTGAGTGTGACTGGAGTGGTTGAGGCAGTGGTAGAGGCAGTGGTAGAGGCAGTGGTAGAGTCAGTGGTAGAGGCAGTGGGTGAGGCAGTGGTAGAGGCAGCAGTTGAGGCAGCGATAGAGGCAGTGGGTGAGGCAGTGGTAGAGGCAGTGGGTGAGGCAGTGGTAGAGGCAGTGGTTGAGGCAGTGGTAGAGGCAGTGGTTGAGACTGGTAGAGGCAGTGGGTGAGACAGTGGTAGAGACAGTGGTTGAGGCAGTGGTTGAGGCAGTGGTAGAGGCAGTGGTTGAGGCAGTGATATTTGCTAACATATATGTTATAAATAATAATAGTACATTATGAATAACATTTATTATTATTATTATTATTATTATTATAAATGTTATTAATATTAACATGTACTATTATTATTTATAACATTTTTTTTTTTTTTATCACACTGGCCGATTCCCACCAAGGCAGGGTGGCCCGAAAAAGAAAAACTTTCACCATCATTCACTCCATCACTGTCTTGCCAGAAGGGTGCTTTACACTACAGTTTTTAAACTGCAACATTAACACCCCTCCTTCAGAGTGCAGGCATTGTACTTCCCATCTCCAGGACTTAAGTCCGGCCTGCTGGTTTCCCTGAACCCCTTCATAAATGTTACTTTGCTCACACTCCAACAGCACGTCAAGTATTAAAAACCATTTGTCTCCATTCACTCCTATCAAACACGCTCACGCATGCCTGCTGGAAGTCCAAGCCCCTCGCACACAAAACCTCCTTTACTCCCTCCCTCCAACCTTTCCTAGGCCGACCCCTACCCCGCCTTCCTTCCACTACAGACTGATACACTCTTGAAGTCATTCTGTTTCGCTCCATTCTCTCTACATGTCCGAACCACCTCAACAACCCTTCCTCAGCCCTCTGGACAACAGTTTTGGTAATCCCACACCTCCTCCTAACTTCCAGACTACGAATTCTCTGCATTATATTCACACCACACATTGCCCTCAGACATGACATCTCCACTGCCTCCAGCCTTCTCCTCGCTGCAACATTCATCACCCACGCTTCACACCCATATAAGAGCATTGGTAAAACTATACTCTCATACATTCCCCTCTTTGCCTCCAAGGACAAAGTTCTTTGTCTCCACAGACTCCTAAGTGCACCACTCACTCTTTTTCCCTCATCAATTCTATGATTCACTTCATCTTTCATAGACCCATCCGCTGACACGTCCACTCCCAAATATTTGAATACGTTCACCTTCTCCATACTCTCTCCCTCCAATCTGATATCCAATCTTTCATCACCTAATCTTTTTGTTATCCTCATAACCTTACTCTTTCCTGTATTCACCTTTAATTTTCTTCTTTTGCACACCCTACCAAATTCATCCACCAATCTCTGCAACTTCTCTTCAGAATCTCCCAAGAGCACAGTGTCATCAGCAAAGAGCAGCTGTGACAACTCCCACTTTGTGTGTGATTCTTTATCTTTTAACTCCACGCCTCTTGCCAAGACCCTCGCATTTACTTCTCTTACAACCCCATCTATAAATATATTAAGCAACCACGGTGACATCACACATCCTTGTCTAAGGCCTACTTTTACTGGGAAAAAATTTCCCTTTCCTACATACTCTAACTTGAGCCTCACTATCCTCGTAAAAACTCTTCACTGCTTTCAGTAACCTACCTCCTACACCATACACTTGCAACATCTGCCACATTGCCCCCCTATCCACCCTGTCATACGCCTTTTCCAAATCCATAAATGCCACAAAGACCTCTTTAGCCTTATCTAAATACTGTTCACTTATATGTTTCACTGTAAACACCTGGTCCACACACCCCCTACCTTTCCTAAAGCCTCCTTGTTCATCTGCTATCCTATTCTCCGTCTTACTCTTAATTCTTTCAATTATAACTCTACCATACACTTTACCAGGTATACTCAACAGACTTATCCCCCTATAATTTTTGCACTCTCTTTTATCCCCTTTGCCTTTATACAAAGGAACTATGCATGCTCTATGCCAATCCCTAGGTACCTTACCCTCTTCCATACATTTATTAAATAATTGCACCAACCACTCCAAAACTATATCCCCACCTGCTTTTAACATTTCTATCTTTATCCCATCAATCCCGGCTGCCTTACCCCCTTTCATTTCACCTACTGCCTCACGAACTTCCCCCACTGCCTCACCCACTGCCTCTATCACTGCCTCTACCACTGCCTTTACCACTGCCTCACCCACTGCCTCTACCACTGCCTCTACTACTGCCTCACCCACTGCCTCTATCACTGCCTCTACCACTGCCTCTACCACTGCCTCAACCACTGCCTCACCCACTGCCTCTACCACTGCCTCTACCACTGCCTCTACCACTGCCTCACCCACTGCCTCTATCACTGCCTCTACCACTGCCTCACCCACTGCTTCTATCACTGCCTCACCCACTGCCTCTACCACTGCCTCTACCACTACCTCACCCACTGCCTCACCCACTGCCTCTACCACTGCCTCTATCACTGCCTCTATCACTGCCTCTATCACTGCCTCTATCACTGCCTCTACCACTGCCTCTACCACTGCCTCTATCACTGCCTCAACCACTCCAGTCACACTCAATCTACAAGCACCAAATACAATGAATTATTGTGAAATGTTTGGAAGAGCACGGAGACTAATGCTCACTCCAGCATAAACAAAGCCACACTGACGATGCGTTAACTACTTCCTCCACCACTGCTTCAACCCTCGTATTTTTGTACAATTTCCTTCTTCAATTCTATCGTATTTATTATTATTATTTTATTATTATTATTATTATTATTAGCAGTAGCACAAATGTTTGATTCTTTGCTGTGTTCAAGAGTAAACACATGATGTCACCTTCCAATACCTGTCCGAATAGCCATTCCAATATGCAGCCATAAATGGGTTTACATTATTTATACTGTAGTTTAATAGCAAATAATGAACAAACAAAACACTCACCACACAGTGGTGGGAGGGCTGGCTGCCAGTTGTAAGGGGTCAGAGGGAGGGTAGTAGGGACTCACAGTGGTGGAGGCAGTGGTATTTAATAACATACATGTTATTAAGGCATAACGTATGTATTTAGTACAATTTACGACGTTTTCATGTATTTTATGATTCTTCATGGTTCGACAAGTTAAGGAAGCAGTATTGTATTATATTTCCCTACAATATATTGGGGCACCAAACATTCACAATTTTTCA